ACACTTCCTGTCCTGATGGTGCTGTCTACTGGGAAAAAAAAAAAAAAAAAAAAAAAAGTCACATTTATATTAATAAAAAGTGGTAAATACAGTATGATTTGGGAGCTGGGAAGTTGGAGGTGACAGTCTGCTTAAAGGAATTCAACAGGAATTACCTGTTGAGTAGGTTCTTGAGGAGTTCTCTTCAGAGAATGGGGGATGGGGACAGCAGAGATAGGACATAGAATAGTGGAGACCCAAATGGCCCACCCAGGAAATGGGAAAAACTTTTGGCAGCCTCAGAGTGTGGTGTGTGTGAAAAATGGACTGCAAAGGGAGTTATGAAGACACTATAATACCGGATTTCACTCCACATGTGCTGCACACCAGTGGTGGATTCTAAGCGGGAGAACCGAAGGTACAATCAGACTTGAGTGCTAAACAGCACTGGCTGCAATGTTTGTCGGAGCTGGAGAAAGGAAAATGCGGACACTTCTGCAGAGACCCTCAGAAGACAGAGGTAATTTTAAGAGATGCTAAAGAAAGCGCAAGACGCGAAACGGCATGGATGGGAAGGAATGCAGGAGGAATCCGCTGGTAAAACAAGTAGGCCGGTGGGTGGGTCAGTAGAGGGTGGGTGGGTCAGTAGAGGAAGATGCCTTTCGCTGCCCTCAGGAATGAGGAAAGAAGTACAGGTTTGGGGCTAAAGACAAAAGCGAGTCCCATTACAGATGGCAGGCACTTGGGTGTGGAGAATGAAGCACGAGTTTAAGGTCAGACTTCCAGATCTGGGCCTCTTCACTTCTTCGCCAGGGCCCTTGGGATCCTCTCTCCCTGTGCTCTCCAGACCCTAAGGTGACTTCCCTATACGGCAAAAACCCATCCCTTCCACCTCACCTGCAGACCTTTGTAAGACCCGCCTCACTGCCGGCCCCTCCAACTCACTCTTCGTCCCGACCCCTCGGTGACCCTGCCCATCTCCAGACGCTGCATCCTCTGCCCGCCCTCTACACGCGCGCACACACATACACACACATACACGCACGCACGCACTCACGCACGCCACTTTCCCCTCTCACCTTCCCAGGCCCCCCAGGGTACCACCACCTCCTAAGCCTCCAGCCCAGCTCCTGAGTCTCAGCTGCACCCCATCCGCCACCCGGACTCACCCACGGAGACACCCACTTCACAACAGGGCGGAAGTGCTCCCAGGCTCCTGCGGGGGACGCTGGGACGAGGAGTCCTGATGCCGCCAGCCCAGGAACCGGGTCTCCGAGACTACAACTCCCAGAAAGCATCGCCGGAGCACCGGTGGACAACTCCCCCTGTCGGCCGCCTCTCAGATGACGTCAGCCGATGAGTGCGTCATCTTCTCATAGGCTCTGGCACCGGAACAAATCTAGCAGGGTCAACGCCCGGGGGCGTAGCCCGGGACGACCCTGACTCTTTCCATTGGTTCTACGGTGACGGCACCGCCTAGTGGGCGGGGCCTAGGTTAGAAGAGGTGGGGCTTACTGCGGAATCGGGGATCGCTCATTTGAGCTGGAGAAAGTAGAGAAAAATAATAGTGAAAAAGGAGAGAGGGTGACTACTGTTGGGTTTCAAACCTGGGACCAATGGCTGAGGTGCCCGTAGGGACTGAAGGAGGCAAGGAGAACCTGGCGGTCAAGTTCGCTTTGATATATTAAGTAGGCACCTCACCCATTGGTCCCGGGTTTGAAACCTAACAACTTCAGTGACCATTCTGTTGGGCAGAAAAGAGTTGGATAGTTGAAACTGTGGTTTCCAGGTCACAACTTAGTTGAGTGGTTTGGAAGAGTTCTGTGCCTCGCCTCTTCACTTGTAAAGTAAGAACAGTAATAGCACCCATGTATGTCACAGGTTTATGTGAGGGAGGCGCTAGGAAACAATAAACCTAGAGCTATTAACTCAGCCAGGATCCATAATGGATAACAGATATTATTATGTAAATTGTGTACAGAGCTTGAATCCTCGTGGGTGTTGGAAACATGTTAATCCTTGTTGCTGAATAATCTGAGTATAATTTGTGGTTGCTCTGTATTACTGCCCTGGCTAGTTTAAAACTAACTTGACACAAGCTAGTCATCAGAGAGGATGGGAGCCTCAACTGAGAAAATGCCTCCATAAGATGGGCTGTGGAAAGCCTGTGGGACATTTCCTTAATTAATGGTTGATGGCGGAGGGCTCAACCAATTGTGGGTGGGGTCACCCCTGGGCTGGTGGTTCTGGGTTCTATAAGAAAGCAGGCTGAGCAAACCAGTAAGCAGTTTTTCTCCATAGCTTCTGCATCAGCTCCTGCCTCCAGGTTCCCACCCTGTTTGAATTCCTGTCCTGGCTTCCTTCAATGGCAGGCTATAATGTGGAAGTGTAAGCCAAATGAACCCTTTCCTCTCCAAGCTGCTTTGGGCATGGTGTTTTTTCATAGCAATAGTAACCCTAACTAGGACAACCAGTGTAAATACTCGGAGGTGTGAGCAATCTAATAGGAAGGTGGAAATGTGGGTTTTGTAGTCAGGCATAGACCCAAATCCCAACCCGGCTACTTCCTAGCTGTGTACCCTTGAAAAAAGCACTGCATCACGTTTGTCCTTGATTTTATTTTTCAGCTGTAAAATTCAGGTGACAGAGCAGAACCTACATCTCATGGTATTTCAAAGATTAAAGATAACATGTAGGTAAAGCATGGACTCTGGAGTCAAGCCACTTACCTTTCAATGCAGGGTGCATGCCTTGACACTCATCAGCGGCAAAACCTTGGGCACAGTGCTAACGCCTCTCGTGTACGTATATGTGTGTTTGTGTGGGTAGGTGCATTGTGCATGAAGGTGCACATGCTTGTGGAGGCCTGAGATCAATGTGAGTGTCCTTCACAGAGCATTCTCCACCCTGTCAATTAGAGGTGGGGTCTCTCACTGAACCTAGAGCTCAGAGATTCAGCTGGGTTAGCTAATCCATGAGCTCTGAGAATCTGTCTGTCTTTACCTCCCCATCTATTCCCCAATATTAGTGTTACTTAGGGCACTGACACTGCTGGATATGGATGCTGGGGACCTGACCTCAAGCCCTTATTGATCGTGTGGCCAGCACCTTATCAAGTGAACTGTCTCCCCTACAAGTCTACATTTCAGTTTCATTGTCTGGAGGGTGGGAATGATAATAGTGAAATCTTCCTTTGAGGACTGTTGAGGGGAAAAAAGTAGACAAAGAATGTGAAGAGCTTGTCATATTCCTGGCACTCAAAAAGTTGAATGACTACTGGCTGTTATTTTTATTGAGCTATGAAACTTGAGCAAATTGACAGTAGCTAGCATTTGGAAAGGGCTCAGTACATTAGCTAGAGTTATATTTAAGGGAAATTCTACATCTTAGATCTTAGTTGTAATAACCCATTTTAAATTCCTTAGCTAGAAACTATATTCTGACTTACTTCTTTTTTTTTTTTTTT